CCTAAATAGCTGGTCTCAGCATTTTGGTCAGGATCAGGCACTTCCCTACTCGGAAGATGTAATCCACAAACCTTCCTTCAGCAAACCACAAACTTCCCTTCAGCGCTGAAGGAAGAACAAAGGTCACTGGTCGACTTAAGCTTCCTGTTGAATGGCAGGTTACAACAATTTGGTCAGGGTCCACTTTCTTTCCTCGGAAAAATGTCAATCACAAACTTCTCTTCAGCACTGATCAACATGCATTATATGATGATAGTTGCCGTTTGCCGTTTAGAAGGAAAAGTACCCAGCAATCTTTTTGGTAGACGCACACCAAGGATTGACTTAAAGAGGGTCGTTTACACGTTTCTTGGCTGCGAAAAGATGAAGGAAGGAGAGAGTTATAGTCTCAGCATTTTGGGAAGTTACAAACGACAAACTTCCCTTTCCTTGGACACTATTGATATTGTATAAATTCGCCTGATGCTAGGCTTATTTGCTATTACACGAGCTCGAGTTAAATAGGAATTACTCACTGGAACATAAGGGTAAGTGCTGTATACGTAGCTTAATTTGTGACTCTCCGTCTACCTGGTGTATCCTGTTGATTATTTAAGTTAGGAACTTGTTGTACGAAGATGGATATAAATTTGAATTGTGTGTAAATCTACATTCTGGGGCTCTACAATCCTACTTAGAGTAATTGAAGTCTTGTTTGCTGACAAAGATACTATGTGTTGCTTAATCTGAGAAATGTTTGAAATATACGGCTCACTGTGCACATACTTAACTTAGCTTTGATTCAGGTCACAATTGAAACGACTCCAAGCGACAGCAACACTTGTGATATTTATAAGAAGCAGATTCGGTTAAAATATGAACGCTGCAACCATCGTTACAAAAAGTGTCCATACTGAGTTTTCAGCCACAATTCAGCACAACGATGCCGGAACACGAGTCGCTCGTGTTGAGATTTAAAATTCATAAAGCTATCTGGTTGCAAAGGTTTTCAATTGCTTCTCCTAAAATATTTTGAAGGTCAGATTGCGCTCTTACAGGCGTCGATGCAGATTCTAACTCGGTAACTGGTTTGAGAACACCTCAACTAAATCTAATTGACAAAAAATGTTGATTATTAACACGTCAACAACATTTCCCATAAAATCTTCAAGAATGAAGAGTTGAAGAGTAAATTTCTTTTGAATTTTTATGTGCGCTCACGTCATTCAAAAAATGCATCTCCTCTTGGCAACACATAGCATCTGATCGAATTACGCGTCCAATTTTCGCTTGAGCAAATAGATTGTGTCGCATCGCATCTCATCGCTGAAAACAATCTCTTAGCGTAAATTACGGATTTTAAGAGTCCCAAAACGCAATTTGTGATCAAATTTCAAGAGCTACACGAGAGATCAAACACAAAAGGGCAACTAGATGCGAACAACTTCGCATTTCAAGACCGCATGTTTTATGTCGACCACTTCGCGATAGCCTTCACTGACTTCTCACCTCGATCCCCCACTCTCATTTTCTAGCTACCGGTCCAGATCGCTTTCTTCACTGTTCATCCTATCAGCGTAGTCTTCATCATCAAAGATTTTCTGTAGAACCATTTAATTCGGCAGGGATAAGGCCGCTTTTACAATGAATCCATGTTCAACGGCCTGTTTTTATTGTTTTTCACCTGTATTGAAAGGTCACTGAGTGTGGAAGCATCCAAATGTAACAAAGTATAATCTTTCAAGTTATTTTTAATCCATCTTTCTTTCCCAAATTCATAGTAAGGAGTATTTTTGAGCGAGATCATGTACATTAAAAGGTCAATTTTGGCATAAAGTTTCCTCAAACGTGAAACCTGTATCTGTGGGTGACCGCTTAGTATAGGTTCGATAGCACCAGGTGCTGCGTTACCGCTGATCTTCAAATAAACTGGACAGTATCACTCTGCAGCTTATCAGCAAGTTAACAGGTCATCAAATTATGCGAGGCTTTTGCGATATCCTATGGGAGGGGGGTGAATAGGCTAACGGATCGGCGGATTCTGAGAATTATTTTGCCCGGATTTCGGATTTAGAGCAAAATTTTAACGGATTTGCGGATCCTGAAATTGCAACGGTTCGCGGTTTCGTCGATTTTTTAGATTCGGATTTTGGATTTTTCTTATGAGGAAGTTCGGATCGTGGATCTGAACGATCGTCAGAAATGCGTTGTTTTCTGAGTATGTGTATTTTTTTTGTCACGAACGAGACTCTCTGCATGTCACGTATCAGGGAAATAGTAACGGACTGGGACGTCTGCTGTGTTCGCGCCCTTATCCATGACACTGTACCCCACTGATTGCGATTCGCTCGATGGGAAAGCCATTGCCTAGCTAACACACAACAGCTCAAGGGGCGTTTTCCATCTTTTTACGAGGCAAGTAGCGGACGGATTCGGATTTAACAATATTTTTTAACGGATTGACGGATTTGGTTATCAAATAGTAGCGGATCGGCGGATTTGCATACCCCTATTCACCCCCCTCCTATGGGTTCATCAGAAAATCTATAATTGAAGTTAGACAATAGGAAATATTTCGGTTGTTGTCACACTCCGGGATAACGCATAATCTTTATTTGTACTCGCATTCACACTTGCTCTAAGCAAAAAGTTTCAAAATTGAAAGAAATTATTAGAAATAAAATTGGAGTACTAGCAGCCTGGAATAACCATAGGGGTTAGGGGAACGGACGTCACCTTTATAGATTATGCTAGCATAATTTTTGGCATAATTTGAGCAAACTGGCATAATTTCTGCCAAGTCGCAATGCTAGCATGATTCGCATATTTTGATAATTATCGGATCATTTTTGATGCTACGATTTGATCATTGTTCATCTCTACTCCCAAGCACTTGTGACGTTATTCGATGTTTTAAGTTACAGTTCAAGTAGTAGCATTTGTAGTTCACTGTGAATCACTGAGCGGCGTCTGAAACGGTCTGAGCCCGGGTCAACGTGAACCACATGTTTATTTGAATTTCACAGTGGATTTGTTGCGTTTCTTTCTTGTAGACCTACGGCCTCTAGTTAAAAAATGTATTTTTTGGACTTATTTGCAATTTTTTCAAAGGGCATAATTTAAAAAAAAAAGGGGCATAATTTGGAATAAAGAGCATAATTTTAGCATAATTTCGCCAAAAAAAAGCAATGCCACCAGCATAATATGCTACTTTTACTAGCATAGTCTATAAAGGCCTATCCGGGACGTCACGAGATAAATATTTCGAATTTCGTAAGCCTATCATCCTTTGATGCACTGATATCGTGATCTGAAGAACATTTTGGCCGATTTTCTTGAAAACCCAACAAATCCATATACCCTATTAATTCGTTTAAGTTGAGATAACTAGCGTAAAAACAAACCTCGAGTTTTCGGCCTCTCCTTTCGCATCTCATTCAAGCGCGTGTCGCACAAGATGACGATTTCACAAAATACCTTACGCAAGGAGAGAAGTTTATCGGTATATTTTATAACATATTTCGTGGTAATTCCGACAAAAACTTACACTAATAACCTGGCAAGTCTTGTAGCAAAGAACTCCCTTGAAATTTGCTGGAAAGGTCGTCATTCGCGAATTAGGGAAATCCAAAAATTCATCGGGAAAAAAGGAAGGAATAGTGGGAAAAGCAAGCTAATAAAAAGAAAACTTAACTTCGACTTCTTCGGCCCGGACACTCTCGCAACTTTTCTCTGTTTGGCCGTTTGAAGAAGACTCTTCAACGTTTTTCGAAATGTGACGGAAATTTCTATAATTATTCTGTGCGGTGCAAGACGCGATGTAAACAAAGTATTGAAATCGAGATCCCGGACGGAACCCACGGAAGACGTTTACACTATCTACTGATTTGTCGGTGAAATATCGTTGGTTTACCACCAAGCTAGAAATTGATTTATGTCCCATAGCTTATTGCCCTCTTCTGATAAATTAATTTGATTTTCTTGTTTTCTGAAGCTCTTCAATCTGGTAGCATGACTCATATGAAATTGTCATTGCTGATCACCATTACAACCCTTGCGGTAGCTATATTTGCTCATGTAGAAGACAAGAGAAAATGCTCTAACTGTGAGAACTGCTGCAATAATAATGGATGTGTATCTGGTGATATGCATGTGGAGGAGCAAAGCAGAGGAATCATCCGCGTATCAGAGCTGTCCAATGGAGACTTCATTCGAGGAATTTCCGGAGCTGATCGTAAGCCTGGTTGGTGCAGAGTTGAAGCCGTATATCCATCTTCATACGATAACGTAATTACATATGAGGGTTTCACAGCAAATCACATGGTGGTTGATGATGACTCAGTACACCAATTTGGAAAGAAGGGCAACGCGACAGAAAACATACCATTTAAGCTGGCCACAGAATGCGATGCAGCCTTGAATGCAGCTGGTCAGGTGTTTACACCCATTAGCACCGCATTCTGTCCTCATGATCTGGGTTGGAGCGAGTACCTGACTTTGATGGCCGCTATTCGACGCGTCACAGATCGCACTGGGTTTTTCTGGTTTTTCAGTGATGCCTTCCATGACAACAAAACAGCCCATATTCCACATTGGATGGACATGCTGCATGAAATGTGCCTGGAGCTCCTGAGCTGCGCCCGTGATGGAAAATGCCAGCAGTTTGAGAACGTGATGGCCAAGTTCGTCCGAGAGCACGTGAACAAGAAGTACGTGGGCATTGTGGACGTCGTGTTTCCCAACATGGGTGGTGATGTGAGCAAAGAGGAAGCTGGAACTATCGCAGAAACTGTTCGACCTAAGGAAACGAGAAGCATTATGCTCATTTCTGCTGTCGGCAGCGCCATAGTTGGATTCATGCTCGTCCTCCTTGTTGCAGCCATATTGTACCGCAAAAAGTACCGCTCAGGGAACAAGAAAATGCAGGAGCTGCAAGCCAACCACCCACAAGTCAGCTCTGACATTGGAAAGGCTTAGACTGGATTTTTGTCATCTGTGGCATGTGACCGGCAAGTTCAACAGCGATATTTAAAAGTGTTAGTGTTTTAGTGATTAGTTAAAGTAACGCAGTTGTCAGTGAACTCTTTCGCTCATAAAGAGTAGCAAGTGGATCGAAGTTAGCCATTTCCTTGCATGGGTTTTTAGGTTTTTTACTTATGCTGTGTGAAGACTATTTGTGTGACGTCTTGTACCGTTTATATTTAAGGAAGGATGATATACAATTGACGAAAGTGTTTTCAGCTTTTTAACAATATTTAGTGTAAATACCTTTCTTTAAGCGTTTTCGGATAACTTAATTGCGTCCTATTTACTCGTTTATCTGAGCCAAACATTATATTATCTTTGTTTGATTTCGACGTGTAGATTTTTGGATACTTTTGTAAGAGGTTAACTCAATTATGTTATTGTGAAGTTCTTTTGAATACTTTGTTCATTGTATAGAATAAACTGCTTTCAACACAACCAGAAGTTCTAAACGTCGTTAGGCGAGCGGAAAAGAAGGCAGGGCCGGGTGTGGATGCTAATTGATCTACTTCATACGAAGTGAATTTTCGAAAAAAAAAACAAAAAAAACAAAAACAAAACAAATCTACCGTACAACTGTGGCCACCCCCAATTACATGATCATTTTGTGATTGCTATGAAATTTTGTGCCTGGATAGCAACTGCATCCATGATTGTTTGGATCTTCTTTTACAACCTTGAAAAATGCAGGTCCCAATGGGATTACCTATCCGATTTAAACGGACTGAATACGGTCATTCCCAATGGCGAAGGTCTCCAAGCCCTCAAACATTTTTGGTCAACGTGTTGTTAAGGACTAGTTCTGAAACACTACTCCGCCTAGCGGAACCAGTGCTAACACTCAATTGCTTTTCCTTCGGGGACAACTATTACAAACAAACTAATGGCGTAGCCATGGGCAACAAAATGGGAGCCAGCTACGCCGATCTTTCCTTAGGTTTTATCAAATACCAATTCTTCAGTGTTACGGTAACTGATTACCGGTAGAAAGATAATAACCTCGCTATTTCCGCGAAACACAATTTATTTAACTGTAAACAACGGGAGGTAACTTAACACGAGCTAGCGACCACTCTTGGAACAATCCAACTAAAAATAACTATGTACTTATCTACGCTTATCTGACCACAAGCAAAGTACTGTCCTTCTCTTTGGCGAAATCTCCTGAAGACTTCCTTTGATGTATCGCACTCCACGGTAAACAGCTCTGGACTTGACAGCAGAATATCAGTATCACATCCGAACGGGAAAATCCCTTTACTTGTCACTTGTCACACAATATCGCTTGTAGATCACAAAACAGGGAACAACAACCTAACTAGCGAGCTGCTTATATAAGCATCCGAATAGAGTCTAGAAGTTTCCAAAAGTAACTATTTATAACCATTACAATAGTAACTATTTATAACTATTACAATAAACTCTATTTTTAAATTGATGAGTCACAGTTCTAGAAAATTCTTGAAACAACACATTGCGTGACATTGCACTTCGCGAACTTTCTAGACAATTCCGATCCTTGTAACACTCCCCCTCTTCAAAAAAAAAGAAAGTTTGTAAAACTTTCTTTGATATATTCTCACACTCC